GAACTACGGAGGCTTGATCCCGAGTTTTGGGTACGTAGGCAACCATGGTTTGAATGGTACAGCCGAGTTTGGCGCTTGCTGCTTCTTCTTGTGTTCGTCCAAAATTTGAGGTCGATCAAATGATGTACGAGGTGGAGAATTGTGAGAAAGAGTGCAGGGAGTCAGGCGCCATGGCGCCATGATTGGGCGCCATGGTGCCCAAAGTGTGAAAAATGGTCCAGTGATGCAGGCGCCATGGCTCCCACTCTGGGCGCCATGGCGCCCGATTCATTCTATATATAGCTGGTGTTTTTCCTCTTCATGGAACACCCGATTTTTGGAGAGAAAAGTGAGAGAGCTTGGATTGAATTTAACAAGTAAGAGGTTGTTCTTCTTGGGTATAAATTCAAAGCTATTTTTCTTTTCTTGGGGATTAACTTGAGGCTTGTTCAAGTAATCCAATCCATTGTTCTTCATTTATATATTGAAAATCATTTCTTCCCCATTTTCTTGTTCTTCAAGTGGTTTGGAAATTTTCACATTGTCAAGCTTAATTTCTTGGGCAATCTTTGGGACGTCATTTTCCCAACAAGACCAAAGAGAAAAAATTTACGTCCAAAAATGTAAAATGACAAAGAGGCTCTCTTCTTCATTTATCGCCAACCACCAACCCAATCGATCATCAAATCTTTCATTGCACTTTGAATAATTAACTGATTATCATACCTTTTATGGAGCCAAGATTTTTGTAGAGTATCATGGCTTCAAGACTTAACTTTGAAGTTGTAATTTTTATATGTACTCTACGTTAATTAGAGAGGGGTAGACCATTTATGCCCCGAGCCAAAAAAAATTCCTCGATTTACATATAAATTGCTATGTTATCAAATAGTATTAGCCTCAAAATTAGGCTGAAAACAAATTTTCTTTTTGTGTTCTTTCTTGTCCCTGGAGAGTAAGAGGGTATCAGGACCATATGATGCAGAATACTAATTGATCATTAGTTTGCTTTGAGTTGAAGTTGATTGGATTTCTAATACACTTGCATTCAATAATTACGGCTAATTTGACCTTTCAATACAATTTTCAAAAATGCTATTTGTACAGCCTTTTTTTTATTTTTTATTTTATTTACAACAATTTTCACATTTCCTCACAGAGGTGGGGTCCACGATTATTTTAATCGTGGACCACACCCACTTGAATGTGTGTATGCTGTGTAAAAAAAGGTATGAAAAATGATGTACTTGTAGAATGATTCTACAATTTTTAAGGATTTCTAATACACTTGCATTCAATGATTAGGGCTAATTTGACTTTTCAATACAATTTTAAGGCATCTCCAATTATTGCATTAAAAGTTTGGGACCAAATGGAAAATCATCTCTAACACAGACCGAAAGTTGCATCACATGAACAATGTTTCATCATTTTCTTTATTTTTTATTTCTTAATAATTTATTTATCTCAAATTTATCGCTATATAAATTACTAAATAAATAATTACGTTTAGTTAACAAAAATATTGAATTCATTAATATATTAAAAAATGTGAACACTTAATACAAGTACCACATTTAAAAAAAGATTACATGCAACATAATAATATTAAAAAAATATGTAATATATTTCGAATTTTGATATCATGATATTACGAAATCTAACTAATGTTGTCATTTAATTCTCGAAATTAGTATATTCATCTGACAAATGATCAATTAATGCATTTTGAAATGCAATGTGAGTGTCTATGACACGCAATGAAATCTTGAAAGCCATGATTTTCGTCTTCAACCAACTCAACTCTGGAGTTGGCGTTTCCATATGACCTTTTGCTGTATAATAAGCAAAATTGTGATTCTTCAAAAGTCCTCGTGCTACATCCTTCTGCTGCTTGCCAGTGAAGATTTTGTCTTCCTTACTCTTTTACATTCTTCTCTTGTCTTTACTCTCGGGATTCCGCAGAGCTGCTGATACATTGAGCTCAAATGGCACCATCACCTACGGTGAGACTTTGGAATCCTCAGGCCAAAGCTTTGAATTAGGTTTCTTTTCCCCCAATAATTCTGGCAAATGGTACATAGGAATATGGTACAAGAAATTCCCAGAAATCATTGTGTGGATTGCAAACAGGGAAACCCCATTAAGGAATTCATCTGGTGTTTTAACAATTACCCCTAACGGAGATCTTGCTATTATGAATGCAATGACGGGCGACGTTTTCTGGTCATCCAATTCTTCTAAAAATGAACCAGCAACAGCGGCACAGCTATTGGAATCTGGTAACCTTGTACTCAGAAGAAAAGATGATACCACACAGAACTATGTATGGCAAAGCTTTGATTTCCCATCCGATACGCTTTTACCAGGAATGAAACTAGGGTGGAATTTGAGCACCGGCACAAACAGGTATATAACATCATGGAAAGATGAAAATGACCCCTCTCCTTGAGACATTACTTTCCGGCTTGACAATATTGGGATGCCTCAGTTTGTTCTTCGCAGGGGATCAGAAACAATTTACAGGTCAGGACCATGGAATGGAATTGAATTTAGCGGTTCCATTAACTGGAAGCCGGTTTTTGAACGCATTTTTGTTTACAATAATGAAGAACTGTACTATATGAATGTGGTTGTCGACAATTCAATTATTACCAGGCTTACAGCGTATCAATCAGGTTTTGTCCGACGTTTCATACTGAAACAGGGGGGATTGTCATGGACTGCTATGGATTCATCACTGAATGATCAGTGCGATGACTATGGATTATGTGGTGCTAATAGCATTTGCAAAACCAAGAGTAGACCAATTTGTGAGTGCTTACACGGATTTGTTCCTAAATCGCAGAGTGAATGGGATGCACGGTACTGGTCCAGTGGATGTGTGAGGAGGACTCCATTGAGTTGCCTGCAGGATCACATTAAATTTTTAAAGCTTGGAGGTGTGAAATTGCCAGATCTCCTTCAGTTTTCACTAAACAAGAGCATGAGTCTAAAAGAATGTCAGGCAGAATGCTTGAAGAACTGCTCTTGCATGGCTTACGCAAATTCAGATATTCGTGAAGGTGGTAGTGGTTGTTTCATGTGGTTCGGGGATCTGATCGATATTCAAGAGTTTTCTGAAAGAAAAGAACGATACATCTACATGCGAATAGCAGCAGCCGAACTTAGTAAGTATATTCAAGTTTATCTTAGGACAGAATTTGAATTCTTTTTCTATGTAGGACAGATGATCAATCAGAATATTGTTCTTGCGTAATAGTACTGCACTTTTGAAACTAGTACTGTGAAAAGCAGTGTTAATATATTCTAGTTATTAAGGTACAGCCCTATAATTAATTAAATCTTTAACATTCAGATCACAATAAAAAGACGACACTGGTGCTGATCTTGGTCATATCGTTAGTTTGCAGAATGCTTATCCTCGGCTTCTTGATCTTTCGTCTCCTCAAGAAGAGAGAATCGAAAAGAGGTGCGCAAACTTTTCCAATCTCATTGAATTAAATTAACTGGTTTTCCTCTGATCGTTATCCAACTGATTGCTGACAGCATTTGATATCGATGTGAAAGATATAGAGCAGCCAATGTTTGATCTGAGTACAGTTACTAATGCAACTGAGAACTTCTCATTAACAAATATGCTTGGAGAAGGAGGATTTGGAATTGTGTACAAGGTGAGAAAGTCATTTAAGTTTTGAATGATTTTGTGGTTGTTGATAGTGAGCAGCGGCCTCATGACAGACCCTTTGAACAATGTACAGGGAAAATTACCAACAGGGCAAGAAATTGCAGTGAAGAGACTCTCAACGAATTCTGGACAAGGTCTTCAAGAGTTTAGGAGTGAAGTAATTCTGATTTCCAAACTTCAACACCGGAATCTTGTCTGGCTTTTGGGATGTTGCCTTGAAGGAGATGAAAGGATGCTAATTTACGAATATATGCCCAACAAAAGCTTGGACCATTTCATATTTGGTTAATCTGCCTCTATTGATCTCCTATTCGATGAATATGATGTATATTTTCCAACCACTAAGTAGTCCATATATTATGAAATTGTTGCAGATCAGCATAGAAAAACATTGATTACATGGAAAAAGCGCTTTGAGATTGTTATGGGCATAGCGAGAGGACTTCTTTACCTTCATCAGGACTCTCGATTGAGAATTATTCACAGAGATCTTAAGAGTAGCAACATTTTACTAGATAGTGACTTGAATCCCAAGATTTCTGATTTCGGCCTCGCAAGAACTTTTGGTGGAGATCAAACTGAAAGCAAAACAAAGCGAGTAATTGGTACTCAGTAAGTTCTATATTAACTCCCCATTCTGAGAATTAAAATATGGATTTACTATGTCTGGAACCTAACACGAGGTTCATGTAGTGGCTATATGTCGCCAGAATGCATTGTTGACGGGAAATTCTCGGTGAAATCTGATGTCTTCAGTTTTGGAGTGCTTTTACTAGAGATAGTGAGTGGTAGGAAGAATTGGAAATTTCACCATTCCGACCATCATCATAATCTTGTAGGCTACGTAAGTCATATAAAGCAAAACTTTTCTCTTCTCCTTATCCAATCTTTCCGTTCAGATAATTAATTGCACCTATTTATATTTCAGGCATGGTTATTGTGGAAAGAAGGCAGGGCATTGGAAGTAGCAAATGGCATTGCTGAGCTATTGTTGGTTGAATCTGAAGTGCTTAGATGTATCCAAGTAGGCTTACTGTGTGTTCAAAAACTACCACAAGACAGGCCAACAATGGCATCAGTAGTTGTCATGTTGAGCAACGAGAGTGTGACGTTACCACAACCTAAAGAGCCTGGTTTATTTGTGGAAAGAAGTTGTGATGAAACAGACACATTACCACGCGAGGAAACATACCTCACTCAAAATGACATGACAATATCCGTGCCGGAACCAAGATAAACGATTTATGTACACGTTGCCTTGTAAATCAGGTGTTGCCAATGATCTCATCTTCTTGTTCACCATTAAAACTACTTGAAAATCCAGGCATGCAACATTTGAAAATTTTCCATGTCAGCGCTATTAAATTGTGTTTTCAGCACTAGATAATGATTACACCCGTGGTTTAAACAATATATCGAATTTCTTGTTTCTAACCATGGTTGAGAATTGATATATTTTCTCGACCTCAGTCTAAAAAGGCCCTACCTTGTTTTCTGCATTTTTATGTCAATTGATACTTAGTTGAGTAACTTATATAAATTTATTTTTTTATTTTTCAAAACAGCTGTTTAATGAAACACCTTTCATAATGCAAGAGTACCCTTTCACTAGTAGAATTGTAGAAAGATCAAGGAGGGACACAAAGGAGTTATAGTGGAGGCCCTAAGCAATGGTTGGCTATAAAAGTCTCCATTGATGTCAAAATACACGACTATGAAGGTTAACAAGTGTGACTGGCACCTTAACTAAGTCAACACTTTTATTGTAGTTGCAAGACAAGTCTGACTATCACCTTAAATCCATTACTACGAATATTGGGCTTACGCACTACTGAATATGCTTTTTCATTTTTATTATTTTACAACATATAAATATGTTAAAAATAAGTGAAGGTTTCGACAACAGGTTGGGTATAAGCTTTTGTAAATGTCAAAGGCCCATGCAAGAGTCTCAATCAAAGGTTCGTGGTAGAATTTTGTGAGCGAAGAAGGCCTAACAAATTCCGTTCCATATTTTCTCCAAGATCATTAAATCCATTCTCGGTGATTTGAGATCTTGATATGCAAAAATGACCTTCATTTGTTTATTCCAACCATCAAAATGGCAAAATATTTGATTTCATTTATTGTTCACTAATGCAATGCCTTTGAATAAGACATTACATTTGAAATGGCATCTTATAATCATTAATTCGATTATTCCCCGTTGGTCTCGCCTTAAAAGTTAAGTCATTTTTCTTCTTTTTTCGTTTGATGAAAGTCACAATGAAGAAACTCCTACCGAACAGCATGGAGCAAGCCCAAATTTTGCCGTGGACGAGGATGGCATGAGGCGTGGCAAGAGGGTGAAGATAACCCCTTCATTGCTTGGTTCATTTGAAGTTGATTCAGCCATCCGCCGAATTCACAGACGGAATAATTGAATGTGAGGAAGAGGTAACCGTAACTGTTATTTCATCTTTTTATTCTACATCACATCTTCTCTTATGGGATTTCTTCTGTAGATGTTTTGTCTTTTGTGTAAAATTTTGAAGGTTATAATTTAATTAGAATGATGCCTTTTGATTTATATGAGAACACTAGGTGATGAAGGTTAATAATACAGTGTAGGAGAAACTAAACACAATTCCATTTTGTCTACACAAATGATGACGTTGCAATTGTTTTCAGATCTTGTAATTTTGGTTGATATTTGCGTGCATTCTTCTGGTTGATATTTGCATTCATTCTGCTGGCTGATAATGTTTAAGTTACAATGATATGCAGCTTTAGAGTTTCTCCAGGTGGTGCTAATGTTTGTATAGCAAAGTTGGGAGATTTCTCTGCTTTTATTGGAAATGTACATTTTTTCCTTTACCTTGTCTTGTTCAAGAACTTTATTTTATTATCATAAACAGCAATGTTCCTTGAAAATATGTTGTTTTGCTTCCGTCAAATGAAGTGAGCAGATTGGTGAAGCAGATTGTCCGGTTTTACTTTTATGTATGGATAAAATGATGTGGCTCTGAATTCTTTTTCATTTACTTATGATTTCATCTTTAATGTTTAGGAAATGGAAGGAAACTGTGGATGAGTAGGTTAAGGTGAACAAACCTGAAGCATCTTCACACCTCATCGGTAGATAGTCCAATATCTGTTATTGCTTTTCATTTTCACTCTATCTTGCATATACTACATGCATTAAAAACAGTTGAATGAGAGTAATGAATTGTAAGTATAGAAGAGGTTTGTATATTGATAACTGTGGTGGTGGCAGTGGCAGTAGCTGATGGGGATTCACCTCAGCAGAGCATGTCCAAAAATGAACAAAATGGCCATCACCGGGTGAAAATCAAATGTTGTTCCAACCAATTTGTTTTCCTGTTAAAAAAGAAAGATTGAAAAAAGAAAGTAAAGGAAGAAGCAAATTTGGTATGAATGCAGTTTAAAAATTCTGAAGTTCTGATTTTACAGGTGCCAGATTTCGGGTACTCTCCAAATCCACGGAGAGAATGTCTTAATCAGATTCTGAAATTTGCGGTTGGTCAGTGTTTTTTGTTGCTTTCTTTATGTCGTGCATTTAGATGACATTATTCTCATGTTTTCTCTGTTAGATGTGTGTGGTTTGGTGCAGAAAGGAACATCTCAGAATATGAACCAAAGCCTAGACCACCTCAATCTGTCCCTCGTAGAGAAACTCCATCCAGATGACCACAATCAGTTCCTAAATCTGCTTCTGCTCCTCCTATACTGACTTCTGAATTGAACTTTTTATACATACAAATGCACATTACGCATCATTGATTTGTGTGCGTAAATGGATGGTTGTGCCTGTTAAAAATTTGTTGGTTCATCTTTTAAACACTCGATTATCATTTTAATGCTTTGTTCACAAAATTTTTTATGGTGCATTATGTTGATACTTGGCATTATGTTTATGTAATTCTTAATGTTTTAAGAGAAATTGGTGAAAGCATGGTTTATCATTTACTTGTTTTGAAGCTTCCTTTTTGTTTTTGCTCCTTTTTTTGTTTTGTTTTGCTCAATTGGGAGAACCATACGTGTGGTTCTGGAGTTCAAAATATTTACATATATACGCATTTTTTTTGCTTTGTTGAATATGAGAACCATACGTGTGGTTCTGGAATATATACATATATATACTTTTTCAACAAAGTGGTTCTAGAAAGGTGCAAAACTCTCAATTAAATTTATTAGAAAAAAATTAAAAATAGCAAACAAATCCTAAATAAATTATTTATTATTATTTGAAAATTGCAAACGAACCCCATATTTTCTTGGGAGTGGAAAATGAGTGTTCGAGTTAATTTTAAATCAAAACGTCCTTTCAAGATTGGCGTTGAATTTCAAGTCACGTTCCTTTTGCATGTTCATAAAATATGTTACGTACAAGAATTTATTTTGGGGGTGGATGCGAAGAGCTAGATTTTATCTTTGTAAAAAAAAGAAATAATAATAATAATAATAATAAATAAATAAAAAGGCTTAATTGTGCGTATGCACGGCCTCGTCCTTCCAGGATTGACGTTGAATTTCAAGACACATACTTTTCGCACGTTCGTAAAATATGTTTTGTACTAAAGAGTCTAATTAAATTTTTTAAAAAATATTTTTTAAAAAAATAAAAATAAAAATTGCAAACGAATCACAAATAAATTATTTATTATTACTTAAAAATTGCAAATGAACCCCAAAGTAAAGGTATTAGGCTGAGAATAAAACATAAGTGCTCGAGTTAACTTTAAACCAAAACGTCCTCTTGGGATTGACGTTGAATTTCAAGTCACATTCCTTTTGCATGTTCCTAAAATATGTTATGTACTAGAATTTAATTTCGTGGTGGATGCGAAGAGCTATATTTTATCTTTGAAAAAAAAAAAAGAATGGCCTAACGCAGTATGCATAGTCTTGTCCTTTCGGGATTGGCGTTGAATATCAAGTCACATTCCTTTTGCATTTTCATAAAATATGTTATGTTCTAGAATTTAATTTGGGGGTGTATGCAAAGAGCTAGATTTTATTTTTGTAATTTATAATTTAAAAAAAAAAAGGGCTTAACAATGCGTACGCACCGGCCTGCAGGTCGTGCGTACGCAACTTTAGCAGATTGGCTTACCGCAGCCAATCTACTTTGGACGTGCGTACGCACTTCGAAGGCCATGCGTACGCATAGCCCATTCGGGAGGGTCCACATTTTTTAGGAGAACCACACGTAGGGTTCTCTATTTTTCATTTTTATTAAACATATTTTTCCCCAATTAAATTTCTAATAATTTATTTCTAATGCGTTTAATTTATTTATTAAAATTTAGCTATTCTTCGACTTGCGATCATGAAAATAAAAATTGTTTACTTAGATAGTTAAGGAACTAAATACGGTCATTCTTTTTCATTTTCTTTCAATTGAAAAATAGCAAATTTCCATTTTTTATTTATTTTTAAAAATATAAATTTCTGTGTTTTTCATTTCAAAGCGAAGTGGCTTACACAAATCTTTTTTGTCGATAACCTCAAACCAATCAATCGAATCGCTCGTGCGGCTCTCCCATATCCATTTTCCTACAAACAATTGTTCAAAAATTTATTTCAAGAAAATATGGTATCTCTATGGGGTAAGGCAAACTTAACTTTGAAAATGACATTTCAGTAGGAAGTGACATTTCAAGATAGCTAGGATTATCTTCCATTATTTATATAATTCACAAGCCAAGAATTGACTTTCCCAATAACTTTTCCAACAAAAAAGTGTGTTGTCATTTCAAATAGCTTTTAGGCTTTCAAAACCTCTCCCAAACTAACAATAATTTATACAAATTTATTTTCATGTTTTATAGCTATGAACATATATTTTATTAGTAATGTTCTTGAAAATTACGAATTATTTAAGGGAAAAAAATTGTGTAATTAATTATTTATCAATAATCTTCCATTTGAAAACAAAATAGAATATAATGGAAACACAGTTTTATTCAACACAACATATAGAACATGTCATATACCTAAAATGCCTACTTTCAATAAGTCATTTTAAAGAATTGATTCGATTTCTATAATCGATTTAAATTATGGAAAAAGAAAAGAAAGAAAAAATGGCCAAGAAATTAAATCCCTGAAGATACATTCGGTAGAAAATATTTATTTGTTGATAATGAATTGGTCCAAATTTTTTGTTTATGTACTTTAAAATGAAGTAAAAATGATTTCTCAACTACAGTATTTATTATAATTTTTATTTATTTAAAAATATGACGAACAAATAAGTTCTTTTATATATTTTTAACATATCTTTTTAACGAAGATCACCGTCAAAGAGGGGATATGTTAATTAATAGAAGTTTGATGACAATAATGTGATGAAAAAAGTTGAAAACATAATTTCTATAATAAAAAATATTAGAAATCTTGAATTCAATAAATATGTGGTGTAAGAAATAATTAATAACAAATGCGGTATGAATGTAATTAACCTATCTTTATTCTCTTTTCTGTCAATCGCCATTTCCATATGGTCCAATTTCCCAAAAATTAATTTTT